GGGTGAGTCATGCAGAGGCAGACCCATGACACCAAAGTGCGTGCACTCCTAGCTCAAGGAATAGCCAGGAACTGGCCTTTTGCAGGATGGGGAAAGGAGAAGACTAGCCTTAGAAGTGTGTGCTGGAATATATACACTTAGAATTCTTTAGGATGATGGACAGAGCAGAGAAGTGAACATTCGGGACAGCAGGCTGTCAGCCAGAAGCCCAACCCAACTTTCCCTATAAAACCATGGTCTCCCTCAGGAGGCCAAGGAATTTGAGATTGGATCCTGATCCCCATGATGTATTTACACATGGTGTGCAGGCCTCTGCTTGTGCTCTTATCCTGGGCCCCACAAATGTTAGGATAGGCCTGGTGGAGGCAGAGGTAGTAAACCATATGTTCAAGAAGAAATGGCAAGAGATGAAGCATTCAGGAAGGAGGCAGTGGTCTTTGTTGTCTTTTGCTTTCTGAGCTTCAGCACAGTGTACCCACCAGAGTTTCCACCGAGAAAGTGGTCAGAGATTTAGAGGAAATGGAAGTTTACCTACGGGGCATCCCCGAGGAGCTGAGAGAGCATGGGATTCTAAAAACTGGTGATGGTTAGCTACAGAAAGAAGGGGTAATGTTTATCATCCTGAGTCAAGAAGAGTTCTGGGGAGTAGGGGATTTAGGCCAACGTCAGGAATGGATGACCAAGATGAACTTGACCCAAACAATTAATAATTGCTTGCATTTCCCTTTTATCTCTCTCTCCAGAGGCTCCGACAAATATTAACTACAAGAAGTATAGAATTTGAATTACTGTAGGGAAAGATATTAGTAGAATGAGTTCTGGTAGGCCGCCTTGAAATGCATTCCATAATTTGGCTTACGGAAAGAAACCTGGACTTAAATGTTTCTGCCAGAAGTGTTTAAAAGCAAGATGACTAAGTGTCAGATTAATTAGTGTAATCTATTTCACTCATAAAGCCAATACTGTAATTCTCAAACTTGTCTATACCATGCTTGTTTACCTCAAGAGCATTCACAAAACTGTACCAAAATACTCAAAACAGGTTTAATTTTGATTCATTTTCAAAATTATACATACATATATGCTCTATGTTTGCATTTTATAAGATATAGGAACAGTCATGAAATCAAACTGAAAGTACTAAGACTTCAAAAGGCCCCAAAGCCTGTAAATTATAATATTAAGGAGCTGGAATCATTCAAAAAATCTGTCATAAACTCAATTAAGCCATTGATAAGCTAAGACAAGCTGGAGAATGAAGATTGATTTGGGACCATAAGGTTAGGAGAGTGAGATAAAGACTCCCAGTTTAATAGCCAATTTACTAAGTTACATATACATCCAGGCAGATAGACTCAGGCTAAATAGCAAGTTCTCCAAAATCCAATGGCAATGTGAACATGGCAAGCAAAAGCCATTCCTTGCCCTAAGCAACCGGGTCTCCTGAATAGGGACCTGTGTGCCCTTCCAAACCCCCACCCTTTTCAGATCCCCTCCTCTTTCTATAAAAGTTTTGAGGGGCAACAGAAGGTTCCAGAATTTAACTTGGATCCTATTGGAAATTAGTTTAGTGATTACTAAGTTTCCAAGCTAGACTCCAAAAGTCTTTTTATCCTAGATCACAAGTAGAGTACTTCTGAATTTTCCCTGTGGAAAGATACAGTCTGGGTTCCAAACAGACAACTTAGAAAAATAACGCTTGCCATCACTCTCTTTTTAAACCAGGAAGAGCTTGATAACCCATCCTTCCTCATCAACCTCCCTTGCTCGCTTTCTCTTTTAATATAATAAAGTCCAAAATTTGCCATATGTGGACAGTTATTCTTAGAGTGGGGCTCACTCAGTTGACTTCTGCAAGGCAGCTTCTCACCTGGAGACTGAGTCTGAACCACCACAAGGATGTCCACGGTGACACCGCGCGGGCTCCCCATCTGGTGCCCCTGCCCCAGCAATGATGGAAGAGTCCATTATCACCACCCTGACAGCAGCATACAGCGTGGGTTAACGAGGGAGGGAGGTTGCTGGAATGTGTCTCACCCGCAGTTATTTACATGGAAGGCAGTGAAGACCAGAAGACAAAGGAGTGGGATTTGGGGCAAGGACATGTTGGCAAGTACGACACACAGCTGAGGTCCAGTCTGTACCCTCATATGGAATGGAGCTGATGGCTCAAAGGGTGGGGCAGGGTCCTGAAAATCCTATCCTGCCCCAGGTAGTGATGATCCAACTTCTCTATGTCCCCACAAAGCCTCCTTCCATCCTCTCTAGGCAGGTATGAGACTTAGTCCCAAATGAGTCTGCAGGAGACGGGAAACTTGACTGGCTCATCTTCTACTCACCCAGCATCTAGGGTATAGAACACAGTAGTTCACAGATACCTGTCTCAGCCATCGCCTTCTGCCCCAGGAGTTGGCCTCACACAGCTCCTGTGAATTAAGATCAGGCAGAAGTCTCCTTCCCTTGAGCTCCATTTCCCTATCTGCCGAGTGCTCTGAGAAGTACATTTTCCTCTAGACTGAGAAAAAAAAATCTTTAAAATGAGTCACTTCTCTCAGAAATCACACCAAAATTTCCAGGAAAATTTCCTTTTTTCATCCCACCTCCCTTCCCTCTTCTCCTTGACTTCCCAGAATTGAGCCCATTTTTCAACACATTCAAACATTTTCTTCTAGAGCACTTTATCTGAATCTTGGTATCTTTTAGCTATTCCTTAGCACACACAGGAGAGAGCTCCTTATTTTGTCCAATTATGGAGTCCTGATCAATTTCCTCTTAGTTTGCATATGTCTTCTTCCTCTGAAGCACTTCTGAAATTTTTTTCTGTGTTCAAAAGCTAGTGGAGTTCTTCAGAGGAACTGTAACAGCTGAGCCCAAAGCGGGGAGATACACTTGACTGTCATTTGGCACCTAAAGTTTTCAACCTTGAGGAAAGAATAAACTACCATGTGCCTGTGAGCCCCCTCTTTGAGTGGCAAAGGAGAACTCTGTGTCTTATCTTCCCTATTCTCATCATCCAGACTAATTTCACGTGAGTATTTACTCAACCACTTTAATTCAGTCTAACTTTACCTACGACATTTATGTCACCACATATTTATCAAGCTCCTCTATCAAGGGGACTCTGACACCTTTCTGTCCTTTTGCATGATATCCAAGCTCTTCCTGTAATATAACCCTCATGTCTTGCTATATCACTGACTAAAGGACCCGGGTGTCAATGATAAAGATTTTTGTCATGAGTTCATTTCTGAAAATGTATAGTAAGCCAGTATCTTATCCTTGATAAAAAATATTCCCTCCATGATGGGAACATTAATTTTATGTGGCAACTTGGCTGGACCACTGTACCCAGATATGTAGCTAAACAGTACTCTGGACATTTCTGTGAAGGCATTTCTAGAAGAAATCAATATTTAAATCAGTGGATTTTGAGTAAAGTGATTGCTTTCCAAAACATGAGTAGGCCTCCTCCAAACAGTCAAAGCCCTGAATAGAATTTTTAAAAGGCTGGCCTTCCAAGCAAAAGGGTGTGCTGCAAGAGGATGGACAGTTTTCAGGACTGAAAGCTAGAGTCCCTCTCCTATTGGCCCACCCTGCAGATTTGGGTCTTGTGTGCCTCCATAACTGGGTTCTTCAGAATAAACCTTTTTGTATGCATCTCCACACCCTACCGGTTCTGCTTCCCTGGAGAATCCTAATATATCCCCATTCACCACCCAGGTTTTTGAAGGGGAAAGGGCAGGAGAAGAAGTACTGGGAAGGGCTGGGAGTTTTTTGGAGAGCCAATTAAATGACTTTCTGGGGAAGGGCTGGACATATGCTTCATGATGGGATACTGTGAGAGCTAGGGGGAGAAAGGCAGACCTCTTACAAGAGTATCCCAACAATCATTTAGGAAATGATTTGGGGTCTCTAAGGAGACATCAAGAATCAATGCGGTGTTGAAGTTTCATTTTTAGGTTCCATGGCTTATATCTAGATGCCCCCACAAAGCCTCATGCTGTCATACATAGGGCTTTGAGGAGGTGACTGGATCATGAGTGTGACGGTGGATTAGTCCACTGATGGGTTTATAGGTGGATGCAATATTGGGAGGCCAAGCCTGGTGAGAAAAGATGGGTCACCATGGGTGTGGACTGGGTACACATCTCTCCTCCACTCTCAATCCCTCTCTGCTTCCTGCCTGCCATGCCATGAACTGTTTTCTTCTACGAATACCTTTCTGCCATGCTGCCTTGCCTTGAAGTCAGCCAACTGTGGACTAAAATCTCTACAAACTGTGAGCCAGAATAAACCTCTCCTCCTTTAACTTGTGGGTGTCAAGAATTTTGTTCCAGCAATGAGAAAGTGACTAAGACATGTGATAAATTTGTGGTCTGTTTCTCTGCTCAGATTTTTGGAGGCCAGAGGGGCCTGGAAGGTGGCCTGCTCTACATCAAATCTGTTATCATGCTGGTGAAAAGTACAGGGTCTGCCATGCTTGCCCACTGTTGGGGCCAGTACTTATTGCCCACAAAGCCTGCCTTCCCTCTTAGGGTCCAGGCAGCAAATCCCCCGTTTACGCACGGATGGGCTCCAGAAAATGTGTGTGATGCACACCGTTGTGAGTCACTTTATATTCGGAAGACAAATCAGAGGAGATGGCCATTTCAAGGAAACTTTACAAGTGTCACTCTTTAACATCGCAAGCCATTTTGATTTAAGATCATAATCTCTCTGTAATTTATTAGCTTGTGAGATTCCTTTTCTGCCTAAGAGGTTTAATTAAAACAATACAAAACTATATTAATAACATTCGGTTGCCAGAAAGAGTTATTGCAGAAATCCTTATGGTATTATGAGAAAGTACTTTAATATCCCAAATAAATGTCAAGTTCCCCAAATCAAACTGATGGCCAAGTTAATGAGAGGTGAATGTCACTCATATCCATATTTCCCCATATTTTTAAAAAAGAAAACATTCACACAGTGAAGGGAATCAGAGTCTGTTTTTATATCCCTAGAGTTATAAACATTTGTATCAAAATATTTACAATTATAGTATATGAAATAATCTATTAATGAAGAAGCCAAACACAGTGCTAGAACAACTCACTAATGTAATGCAAATTACATGAGACATAAATGTCACAGAAGAAAAAGGAAAAGACAAGGGAATATATGGTTCACTCCAGGCATAATTGAACTTCTTAACAAAATGAGAGTATCTCTTTGGATATATCTGATATGTAGATATGCTTTTGCCCATAACTCAGCCTTCTATAATCATGTGATAATCAAATCATAATTCAAAAGTTCATTACCCCATGGTTTCTTTTCTGGTCAATCTCTCTACTCTCAGCCCAGGTAATACAGAGCCTTGCCTCACTATTCCCTTAACCAGAATAAGCGTAAAGACATATACTTAGCAAATAGTCCCTTTACATAAATACCAGCAATTATGGCACAACAATTCCCCAAGAAAGAAAGATATGTGAGAAATGGATGAGGAGGAAGCTAGAGGGAGAAAAGTAGGCAAGATACCTCAGATTCTTCCCAGGGTAGATCTTCTCCAGGCAGTAAAGGGAATGCCCTCCACCAAAGACCCCTACAGGCAGAATCTGAGATGGCTTAAAATGGCTGCTCTAGGGTGGAGAGCTGCCCGCTGAACCAGGAATAGCACAGACTTCTAAGTCCTACGGAGTCAGGTTCCTGCGGCTACCATCAGCTCAAATACGGCCTGACCAGGTAACCAACAGTTTTTGGTACTTTTTTTTTTAAAAAAAAATTATCATTCTATCACCTGTATTTTTATTTATTTCATGGGAACCCCCCGCCCCCCAGGAACAAGCACTCTGTTTTTATCAAGACTGAAACATGGTACGCTTAATACTTTGTAATTATATAGCACCTTTCACCCAAGGACCTGGTGATTGGCTTTGGTTTGTGTGTGTTTTAATTCATCTCCTAAATTGTCATATCCTCCCCTGGGGAGGGGACAGGCCCTCTGAGAAGTCACTGCTCTAGCCAGTGTCCAAGAGTGAGCGGCCAATGAGCCCAGAAGCCCTAATCCCCAAAGTGGGTGATGAGATAAAACTTCCTCAAAAGTTACAATCCAGAGGAAGAGTAACAGAATCATGTCACATCTTTCTTGTTAGATAACTTATAAGAAATGTTGGCTGTGTTGAGGGGAATCCTAAAAACATCACCCTGATATAGTGCTATGGTAAGAGTGCCCCTTGCTCCTACAGTTTATGTGCTGCTTTCACTACTGAAGGGCTCATTAGTGGCTCTAGAGAAACTCCAGAAGAGCTGCCTTGGCTTTAAGCTAAAGCCTGACAGAGTCCACAAAAAGTCCCAGCGAGAGACAGCTGTGAGGTCTGGCTAGGCTCTGCCCCTCCCCTGTCCTTCTATGGGGAAAAGTCCTCTTTCTTGGTTTAGCTAACCCACCAACTTGGCCTTATAAATTGTCTTTCTGCCTCCCCTTTTGTCACAGTTGCCACTGAATTCTGTGGAGCTAAATGCCTGTTCTACAGGAGCACAGTGGCTCCCTGACCAAAGACCTCCTGTAGGCACTTCAGAAGGGAATGTGGTGTTTTGCCTTGGGTCAGAAGGTAAGGTGGCTTCCAGGCTTAGCACGGTCAGCCCAGAGACAGGGTCTGCTCTTGCCAGAACTTGTACAGCTCTTTGCTATTTGTACTTGGTGCAGCTGGTCTGCAAGACATCAGCGTGTGACCCAGAATTCACCCTCAGAAGTGGAGCCAGTGGTGTGGCAACAAACGGGGCCCCAGGCTGTGTGTGTAACCGAGGGCAGCTGGAGGCCAAGTCTGGTAGCTGCAAGGAGGTTCTCTGACCGCAACAAGGGAGCATCAAAGCCCAAGCTGATGACCTTCTCCCGAGGCAGGCACTGGGCAGGAGAGAATCTCCCTGGGAATGGTTTGGGTTTGGGCCTCTCCCACTCTTCCTTCCCCCTCCCCAATCCCCTCCCTTTTCTTGGTTTTTTCCTACACAGTGACTTCCACTCCCCTCCCAGATTTGACTGCTTCCTCCTCCCCACCCCCCAGATATCCCCAGATGCTGGTCCAGCCTCATTTCTTCCTCAGGACCAGATAGAGAATGCCGATGATGAAGCTGAAGCAGAAGCAGATCCAGGCCAGGATGAAGCAGTAACCATGGTGGCTTCCCGTGGCAAAAGTCTCGCTGTGATTGGCGTAACGATTGGTGTAGATGGACGCTCCGATCAGAATGCACAGCCCTGGGGGAGCAAAGGTAAAGCCATGTTAGCACTGATGTTTGGACATTAACAGCAAGAAAAGGTTTTTGTGATTTTCAAAAGATCCTATGTCCCTCGTTGGCAATGGAAAAATGAACTCTGGTTATTTGTCCTGAACCAGCTATGCTGTTTGATTGTCCTGGGCCAAGCTCAATGGCTGTGTTGATAAATTTGACATGTCTGGGCTCTCACATCTGCACTGGTTGGTGTGGCTGCAAGTGTGAGACAAAACACAGAACATCATGTTCAACACAGCTCTCCTGCTGGACCCCTGTGCATCTAGGCTCACTCCACTCCACTCCACTCCACCCCACCGTGGGTACCGGGAAGAGTAAGAGAAGACCACGCATTGCAATCATCGCGTGATGTGACAGTGCTTGAGTCTTTCTCAGGATTCCTGTCTTCCTGTCTTTTTCAAGTGTGCCCCAATTGTGCAGTGCATACCAGGGGCACAGTTTTTTAACCAGTGAAGCAGATGAACGTTCTTAATCTAACTACCATCTCAGGTTCGTGACAAGAGAACAAATCGCCAGAGGAGAACGTGATATGAGGCGATTTCACAGAGCTAATCTGCTCGAGTAGCCAGAAGTGAGGCGGAAAGTTCCACTTAAATCTCCTCACACATACACCAGAGCCTTACCCCACTCCCAGATACTCACAGCACACCAGCATGGTTGCCCCCGAGAGGAAGAACCGGTTTCCCTTCTCCATGGTGAAGAGCTGGAACACAAAGACCACGAGGGAGATGACGGAGAAGATGATGGAGAGGATCATGAAGGCCTGCACGCTCTTGATGGCATCTGTTAACACAGAGCAGGAGAGTGAGGCCCCTGGGCAGGTGTCTCCCTGACCCTACTGCTGCCGCTGGAGACTGATCTCTCCATACCGACCTTCGTTTCCGTAGCTCATGTCACCGCATGCCCCTCCGGTACAGTTTTTCCAAAGACCTACAGATGCATTGACGGCATCAGAAACCACCCAGACCTGAAAGCAGAGAGAAACAAAAAGGTGATTAAAATTGATCCTCTGCTCTCAAAAGAAAATAACAGATCAGCTAGCATCAGGATCATATTTAATCAAGACACCTTATGTAGCCATAAGCATGGCTCGCAGCCCATCTAGTGTTAGAAATAAGGTCCAGTTAAAACCACGACTCCAAGAAATGAAAGAGAGAATGTGTAACTCTGAAAAATGTCACCCAGCTTCTTTGAACTTCGTGTTCCTCATGGCTTGAAAAATGAAAGTAGTTCTACCAATAGTTGCTTAAAATTCTAGGGCTCTAAGAAACAAAAGCCCTGAAGGAGAAAATTGGTGTGAAACTTGTATAATTCATACATTGTATCAAGACTGTTTCATTGAAGGGAGAAAAAAGTTAGGAAAATGTGTAAGAGGTGACAATGAAGAAACACTAGGAAAGTAATATGAAACCTGGTACTCAGCCACTCTCACCTGTACAGAAGGATCAAACTTTGTCACGACAAAGTAACTTCTGAACAAAACAGCGAAGCAAGAGCGTTATGATGTGGCAGCTGAGAGTAGAAGAATGGCTAAAATGTAGGTCCTCCGGCTCACAGCCGTGCCTGCGTCCCTTCTCACCCAGCCCAAGAAAAATAATTACCCTTCTGGAATCGAAAATAAGTGAAGAACTTTGTCTATACACATACAGACGTGTTCATACTAGAAAATCAAAGCTCAGGATATGTAATCAATCACTCACTGTCTATTTCATAAACAACTGCAAGCCCAGCCCTGTATCTAGGGCTGATAACACACAGATATGCAGCACATGGGCATCCAACCCTTAAAACTCTCTCAGGTTTGCCAGACTTGCTATTCTGAGAGACGTCGGGCTTGGCATACAAAATGGATAGATTTCAAAATCTGGAGGAGGCGATACGGGCTGAGGTTTTTGTCTTATCACAGTTATGTTTAAATTAGCCTTGCTTGTAATCACACCCGCTAATGTTTGCAGAGCTCTTCTTCCCAAACTTTAAAATATATTCATTCTTTACCTGGAGCAGGGCCTGGAACAGATTGTGGAACCTTCATTTGCCCACCTAATGATTAGTGGCCTTGGGTTGGTGGTGTTGATTCGTGGTCTTGTGTTGGAAACAAGCACAATAAAAGCAAACAGGGTGCTAAAACTACCGCTAGGGGTCAGAGTAGCCCCAGGTTAAGAGAAAAGACCACTCCCTCTATATGATGGTTTGAAGTTGCTTTGTTTGAGTTAATTCCATGGCACCGGGTTAATCTTACAGTATTCCATTTTCACATGCTACTCTTTGCCCAAAACCTGAGTTCATCAGTTTGGCAACCGAAGGCTTTCATCCTCTTACTTCCACCCACCCTTTTAATGAAGGTTCCCAGAAGGAAGGGGAGCCTGCTCTGCCCACATGAGGTCCTCATTATGCCTGAACGAAGTAGGTCTTTCCCAAGTGCTACACTCCCACCTGAAAGCCATCCCTAGCTTCTGGTACAACCCATCTTTCACGTGGACAGCCCACCCGAAGTCCTCCAAGTTCACTTCCGCTCTGCCTCTGCTGGAGGGAAGTTTCCCTTAGCGGTTGAGGAGGCCTCCCTGTATCCTCCTGCCCTCAAATGCCAACAGTCTGGGAAGGATCACTTACAGGGACACTTGCTTTTGTCCTTGGTTGTCTAACCATTTAATGTGTGAGTGTATTTTTATTTCTTTCTACAACTAAGCTGGGAGTCCCCAGCAGGGCAGGCACTGTGGTTTAAATTTTTGTTGTAGCACACTATGGATTAAAGTAATTCACCCATGAATGAACGAACAAAAGAACATGACTCACATTGGAAATGGTGCAAACAAAGAGCATAATAACAGTGGCGATGTGGACCACAAAAATTCCAGCCAGTAATACCAACATCTTGGCTTTTGTAGTGACTCGTTAGGGAAGAGAGTCCTGTAAAGAAAAAATATAAAAGGATAAAAGGTTACTGTCAGATTCAATAAGACAAGTCGTCTTTGCCACACATGTGGACTCCGCTAAAATGGAAGCATTGCAATAAAAATCATCACAATTTTGTTATAAATCCCTGCAAGCACCTTGTTAACCTAGTTCCCAATATGCCCAATTGTCTACCCATCTCTGTGCATACACCTAATCAGAAACAAAATTCTGGAGTCTTCCCCTTCTGGTGTTTACAATCTCATTTCTTTAATATAGCCTATTTCCAAAACAAGAACATTTTATGATAACTGTTAATATTTCATCTTGTTCCTGTTTTAAAGTCCAAGAGTAAAATTTTGGTTTTTAAAAGGCCTTTGTAAATTTTCAGGGCTCTGTGCAACGACATATAAATTCCTATTCTTCACCGGGGAAGTGTCTGTGGTTTCCCCAAACTGCCTGCCCAGCGATTTTAACAGAAGCAATGATGCCTTGTGTGGAACAGCAGCTATTTCTCAATGTCCAGATGCCGAATCGGCTACTGATTTGATCCCGGGTGAGATATAAAGTGGGAGAGATACAACTTTATTATTATAATACTCTTTGGCATTCAATAATTATGACAACCTAATTACAGCTTAATGGTCTGGGCGCCTCTTGACTGAACATTTCAGACTCGTATTACCACTCCTGAGTCTGTGGCCCAATATGCCCACATAAAGACCCTGCTATGGGTCTGGGGCAGATTCTACATCCACAGCTCAATGTGACAGCTCTGCGGCTTTAGAAGTAGGCAGCTTGAGCTACCACCAGAAGCACCTTCTACTCCTGTATGACGTTTACACCAAGTCCAGTTCTTAGGGATTCAACAACAAACAGGAGGATGCATGAGTCACGGGGGTGGGAGGATTGAAAATTAATATAGATCAAGAAAGTGCATGGTTAAACAAAAGCTTCCAGCCACAATCTCAGCAGAAGGGAAGAAAGAAGTCCACTGATCATAAAAGCTAGAATCTAAAGGAAGTGTGAAGGATACGCATGGGGAGGCTGTTCTGACTCATGCCAGCTACAGGAGCGCTTTGTCATACCCACGACAGTTACGATGAGGTACAGGCTCTGGAGTCAGGGAAAGGAAAGGGCTGGAAGTTTACCTGCAGCCTAGCAGGGAGTAGAGAGCAGGATGGAGGCCCCCTCTCCAGGGAAGGGAGAGTTGGGCACATCTGACAACTGCTCCACTTGTCCCTCCCTCCACCTAATATAATTGATGCTTTTCACACGTGCTTGAGTAACTTTTGTGCCACACCAGATATCTATTGGAGAGCTCTGATGCTATCATTGTCCAACTCTTCGAGTGTCTTTTATCTCCTCTCATTTTCCTTATTAGGCACTCAGAATCCAGCAGGATCTACAGTGCACCAGGATGCCTTGCTCTCTGCAGGCAAGGAACAGGAGGCAGACCCTGGATTCCACTATCTACCGACCCTCTCCAGCAATCCCCTCCCCACCTTCACCCTCCCCTCCAACCAGGTTGTTTTTTAGGAATGTGTTCAATTTAATTATGAATGACAAAAAGCACAAAGTTTGTCCTGCAACCTCAGGGGAGAGCTTGGAGCTTTCCTGCTTGCATTAATAATCTCTCCCCACATTCAAATTTTTTTCTTTTGCTTTACTCAGCTTTGTGCACACCTCTGCAGTTTTCTGTTTGACTTTAATGTGTGGTGAGAAGAGGCTTTTGAAGAGGTTAAGTTAGGATCACATAGTTTTTGGTCTGCCTCAGTTTCCCCATATACAGTAGAGGCCATGATGCCAATGGTACAGGGAAGCATGAGGGCTAAGTTGGGCTGCATATGTTGGACACCTAGCACAGGATCTGGCACATAACAGGCAGCAATACTATGGTTGCTTGGGCTGTGTTCATTATTATTGATATTATTCATATACAAAGCCAAGTAGCTTATGTCAACCCCGCCCAGTTTCTTAATCACCAGACTGTCCCAAGTTGAGTGCGAAGAATAAGATATCTGCTATCTAATTCATGAGGCAGCATGTATAAAATCACTTTGGTCCTCCTAGCAACTGTCATTCTGTCTAATCTCACCCCATGAGTGGGGAGATTGCTAAGAACACACCCTCAGGAGGGGCCAGGACAAAGTTGGAGAAACTCTTCCCATGCTAGTCTCTCCATATCCCCAAGACTCAGGCCTCGCTGCAGCCTGATCTCCTCACTCCTGGGCAAAGGAAAAGGCCCATTGCTGAAAACACAGATATTACATAATGGATACTTGTGTTTACTCCTTCTTGGGCTCTTTAAACAATTCTCATATTCCTTTTGCTTCTAATTTACAATGGTGAGCAGTGGCCAAGGGGCTGAGAACAGAATATAATACACCAAGTGAGGCCACTTAAATGAGTTGCAGAGAACATGGTGAGTTCCCTCCCTGACAGCTGCTTGGTATTCAACAGCACTTTCTCCTTAGGCTGCTCTGTGACTCTCTCTAGTCCAGCCTGACTGCCTTTCACCTGCACTCAAAGTCTCCATGGGGAAGACCCCACCCACTGCACCTCCACCTGGGCAAGTCATTGCATTCCCGGCCTGCTGATCTAAGCCACAGCCCCAGTAGACCTTTATTCCTTTTGCAGCTGGAGGAGTGGGTGCAGGAATCAAGCCAAGAAGTGACTCTCTTTCACTCTAGTTTTTTTGTTGTTTTGGGTTTGTTTTTGTTTTTTTTTTTACTGCGCTGTGTCTTTCCACCATAGAAAGGAGCACAATGTTTTGGATTAGCAAGTGTTTTTATAATGCAAACTACACAATTCTCCCCACTTCTGGCTGCTATGTTGAGGCAAAAGTAGAGGCTGTTTTGCTGGAGCTATTGCATAACACATATCACTTCTTCTTCTCGCTGCCCCGCAACTGTCAGGTTCTATCAGTGTCATCCATTGTCAGCTTAGAGCGGCTTCCACTATTTGTGAATGGCCCTCTCCAAACACATTTGGAAATGGAATGATTGAGCTTCTTCAATCTCTGTGCTGGATCATCCCAGTTGAGATCCCACTCCTCACCCCCAGGAGAGAAACCCTCAGTCTAGGCAGAGGCAACCCTTGAGGTCTTTAGAAAAAAACATTAGTGGTACCCAATGGATGAATACCTGTGAACCTACCAAACAGCAGAGTAGAATGCATGTACATAGCAGATGATCCTATGCTCTTGAGACTTCTATCACCCATTTCTTAAGTGTAGTTTGTGGGAAAACTCATTCCCACCCCACTGTGTATCTTGCTTCATACAAAGGCACTAAAAACATTTCTGGGTGTTTAGATCAATAGACATATTGGCTGCTACAACTTTCTTTCTTAGCAGCACATCTTACTAAAACAAGAGAGTCCTCCCTCACACCTCTCCAAAATGCTATGAGTGGCAACCCCTTGTCATAGCTGAGCAGCTAAACTGGGAAGCAGAGCATAACAGCATGGGCAACTCTGAATGCAGCGGTATGTATATCACCTGCTTCCTGTGATTTGGGGCACCAGTGGTCCCACATGCATCAGTGGTTTTGGGGAACCCCTTTAACAGCAGCATTTTTTGTGGTGTTTAGACTCCCCAGCCTGGGCCACCAAAGTTGGTTAATTCACAGTGTTCGGAAGGGTAGACCATCCACTGGCTTCTCTATGTGGGATACCGAAGACACAATTATGCACTCACTACTGTAAATGAAGCAGGAGTCACACATCCCCAGTGTGGTTGGCAGAGGGTGGTCAAGGGCTGGGTGGGAAATTGAGAAAGTTACAGGAAGCATGAATGTTGACTCTAGAAAGAAGTGACTGTCTGAAGGAATGGGAATTAAAGCCACACACAGGTCACTGCTAGACCTTTTCTCTTCTCTCTGCCCCAATGAACAGGCCTGCTGGTCCTCTTTCCACACAGCTCTTTAACTTCTGACCACTGTTTCTCCTTTTTTTCCCCGCTGCTAAGCCCACATAGGAGCAGCAGTCTCTTTAAGCTCCTATCTCTCATTCAAGCCTCACTGGCCATTCTGTATTTGGATTAAGCTCTTTGCTGATAGAAATTATATTACACTTAGTGAACATGACCCTGAGGATTTACAATTCTGGCCAAGGTAGCTATAAATGACTAAGATGGGGGAAGGGAGAAAAGAAGAGGGTTTGCCAGTCTTTCTCTCTATCCACTTAAATCTTTACTGGTTCTTGCTTTGCTCTTCCACCTTCTCCTCACCAAAAAGTGAATAAAAGGAAATGTAGCCCTAGACTGTCTTGAACTGTGTACTGAGACTGGTGTGTAGTGAGACTTTGTTTTTCTGATGGGTAACTCATTCTGCAGCAACTTTAAGAAACTGGCTTTTAAGGAGCAATGAGGAAGTAAAAAGGTGCATAGTTTGACTGTGTAATTGCTAAGCAAGGGACCAAATAACTCTTTCCTGTAGTGTGCTATGGGGTCGCAGAGGAAGAAATCTCTCTAAGGGTGATTGAAGCCACCGTAAGTGGGAGCAACCAAAAAGAAGAGAGGAATCCAAACCTCACTTCTCCAGCAGAGGAAGTGGTGGGAGTCCTGAGACCTGAGTCACTGGAGAATTTGCCTGAGGCTGGGTGTGTAGAGCTCAGGGCCCAGGAACTATGTGAACAGCAGCGTGGTCCCACGGCACTCAAATTTCCATGATTCACTTGATAGCGGGTGAGAGTCTCTCAGATGAACGGCCAAGTGGAGACTTCCTCCATGCACTCACAAGATGGCACGAGAGGATTTCTGAGGAGCAAGGCTGGCCAGCTGAAGCCAGTTTAGGCATTTCTCTGGCAGCCTAAGGTAGCCTGGGCTTTCCTGAGGAGAAGAAAGCAGTCATGGCAGCTGCCACATTCCCTATTTTCCTGCCCTTTATTCCAGTTTTACTACCCCCATTGCTTGCCTGGAATTCATTTCTTATTTTCCGCTCCATTGTTGGGTCCAGTTCAGGTGCTAGCTTGCATCCTGGAATCCTTCCATGGTCCTCTCCCTGAGTTCCTTT